GGGGCTGGGGTCCGGGGCCGCTGCTTTCTCCCTGCCTCCTGGAGCCATCCGCAGGCTGGGCTGCGGGCGGGATGCCGGGAGCATCGTCTCCTGGCCTGCCTCCCTCCGTACATTCCCCCACCCCTCAGGTCTGCTTTGATGCGGCCTTGTGAAGGCGGCGGCTGTGTCAATGGGCCTTCTATGTGACAGGGGGCCGCTGGGGGCCGGTGTGGGTGCGGGCGAGGCCTGGACACACAGTTCCACTGTGTGGGGCCAGTTCACGCCCTCCCAGACCCTGTGGCTGGTGGGGGGCTCCCAGGAATATCCTTCCAGTTGTTGCGGGGGGGTGCTTTGGACAGGCAGGGTGGTCTGTGGAGGCCTGGCAGACGTGGCGCCAGGGAAGCACCATGGCGGGTGCGGATGCTGGCCGTCAGGCTGCTCATGGCCAGGGAGGGCGGAACGGGGCGGGGGGGGGCACTGTGGGTGCCCGGCTCAGGGTGACCAACTGTCCTGGAGAACTGGAATGAGAAACTCAGAGCTCACACTGGCAGAATCCCCGGTTACTGTTGCTGCCTGGAGCCAGGGAAAGGACCCAGTGACTGACCTCTCCAGTCTGGGCAGCTCCCTCCTGTCCACGCTGCTGAGTCAGACCATCTTGGCTGGACCTGCCCAGGGCCATTTTGTTCATCCGAAAGGCCATTTTCTGTTTCTCCCAGGCGCCTGCAGGGGTGGAGCTGCTGCCTGTACCCAATCGCTGTTAAGCCAGTCTTGACCACAGTCAAGCCTGGGCCAGATGGACCCCGGTCCCTCTTGGTCACCTCATGCTTTCCCTCTGCCCTGTGCCTTCCTATCAGACAGAAGGGCTCCTTGAATCCTCCCACTCTCCCTTGCCTTCACACCCTGGCTCGGCCGTTCCTTCCAACCCTTGGTCAACCCCTCATTTTGCCAATCCCATCTGACATGTCCCTTCTCCAGGGAAATGAATTTTAACAGCCCTCGGCTCTCCCAGCCCTGCTGCGATTCCTCCACAATCTTTGGTTCACCCAGTGCAAAGTTTGCTTCCCATCTCTTTCTACACCAGACCATCAGCAGCCTGAGGGCAGAGAGCACCACCCAGGCCAAGTTCATCAGAAATAATCAACAGAAGGAAAACATCAACTGAGCACTTAGGCTGCAGCAGATACCTGCTCGTTTCATCCTTTCCAGAGACCTACTAGGTTGGTGTTTTTACCCCCCCCCCCACACTGTGGGTAAACAGAGGCACAAAGAGCTCAAGTGACCTACCCAAGGCTGCAGAGTAAAAGAGAGTTAAACCTTGAACCCGGGGACTGATGGTAGCATCCACAACTAAATCTCAGCCCTCAGTCGGCTCCTGGACAAGCTCATGTGGAATTACTAAGTGAGGCTGCCCATGGCCTCTCCAGGATTCCCTCAATCTTTAGCAGAAGACAGTGTATACCCCTTTCCTTTGCTCTCCTCCCTCTGTGTCCCGTAAGAGTGCAATTTAAGGAGCTGCTGGGGGGACACACCTTCCCTGGGAGGCGCAGAGAGGCCCTGGGGGGAGGGGCAGATTTGGGATAGAGGTGTTGACCTTCAATGGAGCTATGAATGTGTCCTGGGGCTCATTGCCGGAGTGTATCCGATGAGGAAACTGAGGCCCTAAGAGAAGATGGCCTACACAAAGTCTGAGTCACAGTACTGAGAGCCAGCTCCTCTGTTAATCTGAGAGAGGAATTACTGCCCTTGTTCTTCTGGGGAGAAGGGGAGAAGGTGCGCCCACAACTCAGCACACGGTCCTGCTCAGTGGAACCTGCGCTTGCTCCCCTCGGAGTCCCTCACTCTTGTCCCCTGCTCCTGCCAGGCAGGAGGAGCAGTCTTGCCACACTCTCCCCAAACCTCCTTCCTTCAGGGTACACACAGAATCCTGCAGTCAAGGCACCCACATTTCAAGGCTCTGGGGGCAATGTCTGGAGACGCGCTGCCTCCCTCCCAGCCTGCTCAGGGATAGGGGCTTCTGTGTACGGAGAGTTTGGGGGGGCCGTGAACGAGTGCGCAGCATATGACAGCTCTCCCTGCATTGAAGTGAAATGTGGTCTCTTTCCCACGGTGATCCTATCACCCACAGAAACGACAGATATGCTGGGGTCTGGGCTCCTGAAAACTTTGCATGCTGTGGCTTCCAGGCCCTTGCTGGACTCCCTGAGCAAGTTTGCTCATCAACAACTTGAGTGTCTTTACTGTTTTTTTGTTGGCTTTTGCGGGGACACATCTGGAGGCGTTCATGGGCTGCTCCCGACTCTGTACGAGCTACCGGCAGTCGTAGAGGGACTATGAAGGGTTGGGGATTGAACCTGACACTCCTGCGTGCGAAGCATACACTCCAGCGCTATGCTCCAGCATGTGCTCCATTTCCCCACCCTGACCATGGAATTATTTTGTTTTTTTAATTAGATTGGTAACTATATTTGGCTTCCAAAGTAGATTTAGCAAATATCTGAATTTATTATATGATTATTATAGCATTTGTTTGTTTGTTTGTTTTTGGGCCACATCCAGCAGAGCTTAGGGCTCACTCCTGACTCTGCACTCAGGAAGCACTCCTGGTGGGACTCAGGGAACCCTATGATCAAACCTGGGCCAGCCACATGCAAGGCAAGCGCCCTACCCACCGTACTATCTCTCCAGTCCCTATTATTAGGTTTTTTTTAAAGCCAACAATATTCCAGAACTACTTCCATCTTGGTGCTCTGGGGACTACACGGTAATGGGGATGGAACCTAGGACTCCAGCAGGCAAAGCCTGAGCTTCAGCCTATTGAGTTCTCTCACCAGCTCAGCCTTCGGGATTTTGCTTTATGCATTTAAAAATGTGACTGAGAATCAGTGCCGAGGCTTCTTGAGAGTCTAGAAAGGTCTGTAGCCCAGAACAGGTTAAGGACCCTTCATGGGGCAGTGTCGAGCTTGGTACTGCAGGACCCAGAAGTCAGATCTCGCTGGGGCCAGAACCAGCAGCTGCAGGCCTGTGAACCTCTGGGACAGAACTCAGGAGACAGAACCCCACAAATCTGCATGTTGTAAGTTGAACACAGGAATAAGAACGGGGAGAAAGTGAGAATGAAGAGTGCCGCCAGGGTGTTTCCGTGGAAAGGCGGGTACAGCTTCAGAACCCAGTCCCAGAGGCACTCTCCAGACTCAGGTTTTCCTGGGCTCATCTACAATCCTGCCTCCCCCCTCCAAGGGATCAACCCCATCTGCTGCAGCCTCCTGTCTGTAGGTGCACACAGGACCCTACACTAGCTCCTCTCCCCACCCCTCTTGTCGCCATCAGCCCTTTCCTGGGCACCATGGCCCCTGGATCCCATCTGAAGTGAGCTTGCCCTGGCCTCCCGAAGTTCCCTTCCTTTAAACCTACATTTCTCCATTATGGTCACGGAGGAAAAAATACAGATTACAAAGAGCCAGCAAATGGTCTTTATAAACTCTTATTTTCTTGCCACAGCGCTGCCTTTAATTAGCTCCGAGGACTACAAAGGGAATAGCGTTATAATAGGAGCAGCTTGAAGGAGGGGACCCACGGCCCGTGACTCCCCAACTTGGGCTGAAGTTTGTCACCAGCCATAGCAAGTTTGGTGGATGCAGCAGCAAACCTGCGCACCCAGCCCCCATCTTGTAGCCCTACAACCCGCAGCAGGGGGTTAAGAACTGCCCCATTCTCAGACAACAATGTGCAGAAACCTCTGGACTAGGCAGCCCTCAAAGGCACTCGGAGCAGCCGCCTGGGACTGGTTCTGAATCACTGTGTCAGCCACAAGGGACAGGCAGATGGACACATGGGCAGACAGAGCCCCAGAACAACTTCTGCATTTCAGCTGATCAGCTCAACTAAGGAAAAGGAGCAGCAGCCCTTCAAACCCCGGAGTCCCAGATGCTACTCGGCCCCACTATTCTGGGGGAGAAGGGCTCCTTGTGTACCACCCAGAGGTTCTGTCTCCATACACAGGCTCAGTCCCAACCTCAGAGGGATCTTGGGGACCTCATCTGGTGCACAGAGAGGTTAAGTAACTTGTCTAAGAACTCGCGGCAAGGTGGACACTGAGCAGGGGCCTCATGCTCCGAGATTCTTGACCCCCAGTCTCAAGTACCAGAGCCCCGCCTGGGCTCCCGTGAGGCTGGGGATCAGGAAGGCAGTAGAGGGGTGTCCAAGCTAAGGAATGTCAGCTCTGAGAGCCAGATAGAGGCAGGGAAATTCTCCCCTGGTTTTCAGGATCTACCAGAGGTATCAAATTAGGGGTCTCAAATGCTTCTTGAGGGACATGACCTAGACCTCCAGGGCTGGGTAGGCCACAGACAGAGGTACAAGTCACCCAGAAATTCCTTCTTCTGAGACCCCAAGCCTTTCCTGGATCAGCTCCCCACTCGATTCCTGCTTAAAGCAACTCAGGGCTGCACAGGCTCTCTCCAAAAGCCCGGAGCTGCCTTGCCTGCTTCTGCTTCCCCCAGCCCAGGAAACCCCTTGGAAAACAGGGTAGCAGATCCTCGGGAGGACCTCCAGACTCTGAGAGGAAGCTTTGGCCCCACCTCTTGCTCCATGGCACGGGCCTGACTCTGGGGAGTCAGGGTCTGCCTGCCCTAGCAGGAGGGGCCACAGTCTCCGGTGGGCTTGGGGGTCGGACCTCCAGGCACAGAAGCCCCGTAAGCGAGGCAGGGAGCCCTGGGTCCAGGGACAACCCCGTGTCCTCTCTATCCCAAGACCCTCCGGGGGAGGCTTGGCTCGGAGCTCTTGAGGTCTTGTGGTACCCACTGCCCCCACCCGAATGGAAACCCCACCAAGATGTTCCAGTGCAGGAGACCACGGAGCCATGGGTGCCCTGCCCACGTCTGCTTTCCCAGCCCGAGGTTGAGGGAGTGGGTCGTGCACTGGAAGAAGCCGGTGGAGAGACGCCGCCCGCTATCTGCCCGGGGCCTGGCTGCAGCTCCCCACCCGAAAGCGCCAGCCCAGGGCCCAGGGCAGTGGTTACTCACCGCGGATGAAGGTTGGCGAGTAGGTCGGGAAGGAATCGAAGATGCTGTTTGATGCCATGCCCCGCTCTGAGGAAGGCGAGAAGTCAGCCCTTCCCGGGGTTGGGTTGGGATGGAGTTGGTTGGCTGTTTTATTTTTTCCTAGCTACTTTTGAAAATTCAAGGGGGGTGGGTGGGGGGAGTGTTGCTTTTTGTTTGGTTTTTGTTGTTGTTTTGTCTCTTTTCCCCCTACTGCTACGAAAAAGAAACAAGGAAAGAACTCGAGTGTGTGTGTGTGTGTGTGTGTGTGTGTGAGAGAGAGCGAGAGAGAGAGAGAGAGAGAGAGAGAGAGAGAGGAAAAAATCCCCAAGGAAAGTAAGTTTCTGTTTGTACCCAAGAATTTGGATTCCTGGTCCCACAGGAATGTCTAGCCACAAATTTTCAACAGAAGCGTATGCAGAGTGTATGATTAGATGGCGGGAAGGGGCCTTCGGCAGCCAGGGCAGAGGCGCTGGCGGGGCAGCGAGAGCGCAGCCAGGCCCTGCAGGAGCGCCACAGGGAATGAATGAATGAGACTTTACCCCCCGACAGAGCTTAGGCTCCAGTGGGTGCGAGGGCGGCCAGGGGGTGGGGAGGACCAGGAGCCAACCAGCTCCCTCACAGGGCCCTGAAGGCGGCTGAGGGCCTGGCCTTGTGGTTCTGTGGTCGAGGGACCAGGCCTTCACAGTGTCAACCCAACCTCAGCTCACAGGATGCGAGAAGCCAGCTCGTAGCCCGGGCCCATTGGCTGGGCCCTGGTCACCTGGGCCTGTGATGTCACTGACTCTTAGAAGATTTTGTGGCTGCCTCGCTCTCCTTTTTGGGGGAAAAAAATAAAAAAAAAGGGGAGAGAGAGAGAGAGAGAGAGAGAGAGAGAGAGAGAGAGAGAGAGAGAGAGAGAGAGTCGGGGGGGATGGGGGGGAGCGATGGCTTTTATTTGTGAGGCTGGCCTCAGCACGCGGCTGGGAAGCAGTTGGAGTGGGGGTGGCCGGGTGGTGGTTGGGATCCTGGGGGAGACTCCTTTTTAATTAAGGACAGCATTGGCCTGGGCGGTCTGGGAACCCTACTGGGCTCTCACTGAGACCAGGAGGCCAGATCCTCCAACCAGAGGGTGGAGGGCTTGCTGGCGTGCCCCCACCCCTCAGGCTGCAGCCGACACCCCGCTATTGTCCAGCACCACTGTTGCCAGGGAGAGGTATCCCCATGGGTGGCTGGGTGGCACTTCAGGAGGGGTTTATGGGAGTTGGGATTAAGTACAAATGGAAAACACATGAGGCGACATCAGCAGCTCAGGCCCCGCCTCTGCATGTCCATCGGGAAAGCCGGCCTCGGGACATTGGGCAGCACAGCCAGCTGAGGCTGGGCCGCGCACTCACTGTGAGTTCTGGGCTTCCTTTGCCCCCTGTGTCTCCCCTGGGTCCCCTGGCCTCTGTGTACCCTGTCTGCATTCTCCTGCCTCTCCTCCCGGCTCCTGCTGCCATCACCACCCACAGTGGCCTTTGTGGAATCCTTCACCCCAGAGGGGCTGAGATTCAGAGGAGACTCCGGACGAGTAAAGAGGGCTAGAGAGATTGAACAGCAGGTAGGGCATTTGCCTTGCACTCTCTGAATTCGGGCTTGGTCCCTAGCATCCTTTATGGTCCCCTAAACACTGCCGGAGATAATTCCTGAGCACAGAGCCAGCAGTAACCCCTGAGCATCGCCGGGTGTCCCCAGCCCCCTGCATCCACCCCCACCCCACCAAAGTAGTAAAGATATGGAATGGAGCAGGAGGATGCATCAACCATACACTTCTGGGCTCCCAGAGCAGCGTGGGTGCAGGGTTGGGGGCTGAGGCCCTTTCCCAGGCAAGCTCCACTCTCCCATTTCACAGACCAGACCACTGAGGCCCACAACAATGCTCTGGGCTTTTACAAGGCTCCACAGCAGAATTCTGAGCAGTCTTAGACCAGCTGCCTCTGACTCACCATCCTGGGACTCTGCCATGAGACAAACGCTCTCTAAGACTCAGAGTCCTGAGACTTCAGAAAACCTGGCCCATACACCTCCCTCCTCCACCTTAGGAAACCAGAGCTAGAGGCCTTGCCTGGACTCTTGTTTGTCCCTGAGGGAGGGACATTGGGGAGGAGGAAGGGCTTGTCCAAGGCAACACAGAGCTGTGTGTACCCACAGACAGACACACAGGCTCCCCAGCAGAACACACTCGGAAACGCACTGTGCCTCATTCAGAACCCCAAGAGGGTTCAGTCTTTTGTGTCTCAAGGGTGACTTGATAGGGATGATAGTGAAGGTGGGCTTTAAGTTGCTCCAGAGGAAGCCAGTTTATAGAGAAAGACTCTGCATTCCCAGCTTCAACACAAATCAAGGTCTACCAGAATGTTCCCTTGGCTTCCCTGGGAATTTTCAGGGGTTTATTCAAAGTCTAGTAGGTTCTCTGGGCTTCAGTTTCCATCCTTTATAAAATGGGGGTCACACATTCTTTGGAGGGGCAGGCAACCGGGTGAGGGCATGGTTAATACTGATTTCCATGCCCGCCTTGGTGACGTAATTAGGGGTCCATTATGAGTAAGCTCAGATAAGGAGTGTCACGATGAGCGGACCTTCCCCCCACATAAACTCTGCAGCTGGCCAGGCCAGAGTGGAGGGTCTGGGGGTGCTCAGAGGCATAGGGACACCTGCTAAGAGTCCTGTACCTGTTGGTTAAATTTGGAACATTCCAAATGTTTGGAGTCTTCGACATTGTTAAAGGGTTGAGATGGGCACTGCAGGGAAGACCCCCACAATGTAAGTGGAAACAGAGGCCCTCAGGGGTGGAGTATCACCCAAGTTTACCCAATGAGTCAGTGGAACCCAGGTCCCTTCCTTCTCAGCACCACCTCCAGTTTTTGTCATCTCCCCCTACACATTTGGCTGGTTTTTCCACATGAACATGTGCCCCCCTATGCCATCAGACTTGGCCACCCTGAAGTGCACTCTCCTTGGGAGCTGAGCCCAGGCCCTGGAATTGGAGGGTCTCAGGAAAGGGGCAACAGGTAGCCAAATGACTCTGGGAACAACGTTGCTAACCTCCCTGGGGTTCCTTGAGACACTTGTCTCCAACAGCCCTTGGAGCAGGACCCAACTGAAGGATGGTTGGAGGTGTCGGGGAAGCTGAAAGAAACTTCCTGAAGCCTGCCTTTGGACCTTGTGAGCACTGAGAACATGAGACAGAGGCTTTAAGCTTCCTAGCTTGTGAGATAGGATTTAACTGTGAGCACAAAAGTGCAGAGGGAATTCAAGGATGAAGTGTGGTGAGCGTGCCTAATATGTTATTGGTGCCCAAGTACCAAGGATGGGCACTGTCCTTTTCTTTATTTCTGGCTACGTTCTCTTTGCAGACCATCCTTTGGAAAAAAAAAGTTCTCTGCCATAAACCGCTGGACCAATTAGATCGGGTTCATCCTAAAATTAGGTTGAGGAAGGGAATCATAAATAATATCTGTTTTCTACCAATCTTCTCTTGTGAGTTGATGTCTTGAGATGTGTGTTATAAATGACTTTCTTTCGGTCCTTCTGGCTGAAGCCAACCAAGAAGGCATCTCCTACAAGGTCCAGTCTTGATTTCTGTAGGTACATGAACGGAACAGTGCTAACCACAGGATCACCATCATTGCTCCTGAATTTGGACAATTTCCACCCTTTCCCAAATCTGCGAGCTTTCTCAGCAACTTGCCCTCACAGAGGCTTTCCAAAGTTCTCAGGCAAGTTTTTATAAAAAAGTATACACGTATTATCAATAATCTAGAGTCATCAGCCATGAGGCGTCAGTCAGGGAAACAGAAATATCAGAGGATTGGAGAGCAGAGAAGTAAATGAAGAGGTTCTTGGCAACATGGTGGGAGCTGAGAGGTCTGACAAAGGTGGTATGGAGCCCTGAGATTAGTTGCAGCTGGAAGCCACCCCTTGGTACAATAATAGGTGGTCATAACAGGAAGCAGGGGGCATTGTTGAAGGGTCCCACATTTGCTGGAGACAGCTGCTTTGGATATCTTGACCCCTCCACCCAGGCCAAGAATCAAGGAGAGAGAAACCCTGAGTGTCTCATCCTTCTCTCCTCCAATCTGTACCTCGTGCCTCTCGTGGAAATGGAGTCAACTCACCAGGGGGATTTTGGAATGTGGAGTCAGACTCTGCCCTGTAGGAGAAACAGAGAAGGGGCAGATGGGCCTGAGAATGCCCCATTACCAGCCTGTAATGTCCCATGAATTTCTGCAACATGAAAACCCTGTTGGCATACTCGGGTTTGGGAGCAAATCCAATTGATAGTGGCAAGTTGACAGCTCAGTGGGCTGCTGGGTCCCCTCGCACACGGTGTCCCTCTGTAAGGCACTGGTTGGTATTTTCTCCTACAAATAGCAAAGAACACCAGGAGATGGTTACATGGGGGGTCAATGAGGAGAGCACCTACTGTGAATGGTGATAGGACTCATTTTCTTAAGCTGTGTGTTTCCCTTCTAAGCTAGGGGAAGGGGACCAGTGATTGGTGAATTAGGCCCTGGTCAGGCAGGGCTCATCTCTGATCTTTATAGTTTATATAGGCATCTCTTTATATAGGCATCCAGAATCTGTACAGTGCCCTCATCCCACCTCCAACCTAAAACCCTGCAGGATAAGTGTAACTCTTTGATGAGGAAGAGACCAATTCTAGGGGTGAACCCTAAGTTTTAGTTTGCCTGTAGGAGTCTGAGCACCCAGCCTGGGCAACTGGTTGCAGACTTTAAGGAAGGCGCAGGCCTTGGAAATCCAGTAATTCTAGTGTCGTGCCAGCACAGATTTTTGGATTGTCATCAAATCACAGTACCTAACTCAAGGAGAGGTCTGGACCAATATTTAGTATCTGCTACAGGCTTCCCAGGGGGATCTACCTTAAGGCCCAGCACAGAGACATCTAGAGATGTCCCCTGTCCCCCACACCCTCCAGTCAAGCCCATCCTGCTCTTGCCGTGGGGTGCAACCAGGTATGAGGCACTTCCTTCGGGAACCCCATTTTCCCTGCTATAAAAT